CAGTCAGTCAGTCAGTCAGTCAGTCAGTCAGTCAGTCAGTCAGTCAGAGTGACCTTTGCCTGTAGGTGTGTTGGGTAGTCCATCCAACGAATGGTCGTGAACTGTCCGGGGCCGGTCTTCACCAACAGGTCCAGGAATCAGTGAAGACCATGGCATCTTCCGTTGGTCGAAATCCCTCCAAACGAAACATTCACTGTCTGAATCGGTCTGTCATTGGTCTCTGGGGATCCCCGGCAGATGCAGTGGTTCCATTGGCTTGGCTAAGGCTGGAGACAGCTTGGGCATCGGCCTGAGATAGATAGGTAGATAGATAGATAGACAGATGTGCGCGGAAGGTTCACAGCTGTGCCATGCATTCTCGCCCCTTCCAGAAGCCAATACGCCGTTGCGGTGCGATAACAAACAAACTCAAGATGTTTCAAAACGAAAACATACAAAACAGCATCAAGGAGTGACAGAAGAAAGACCAACACTCGTTCCAGTGATAGCACAGAGGTGGAACATGGTGCAATTGACCTTTTGAACACCAAAAAATGTATGTCTCGGTGACTTCGAAAGAGCCACTGGTCAAAGAGAACATCGATGATCGCTCCTTTGGCAATCCACATGAGATTCTCAAAATGTGATCCCACGACCAAGGCTTAATGATGTTGAATTGTAAAAGCACTTAGAGGCAGCACTGAACTTCAACACCTTTATCACAGATGTTTGATGTTCACCTGTGGATCTTGATGGATGTGTATACTGTATATATACACTCTTCCCTTCATGGCCAAGTATGCGGTCCAAACCTCCATACTGCCCCGTCCAAAAGCGAAACACCATCACTTCGCACCCCGACCCCCCGTGGAACGTCTCACCCAACCGGTCAGACATCGACGTGCGCCTGGAGGGTCGCTCCAACGGTCCACGGCGAGGAGGTGGCTTCGCCTGCGACCGGTGCACGTGGGGTGGACCTTTCGTAGCACATCGCGACGAACGGGAGCAAGAAGCTACGAACGTAGCTATACGAATATAGCTATTTGCTACTAGTCGGTTATGCCCTTGTGACTCGTAGCGATGCACTTGTTCCTAGTAGCTTCTTATAAGTGTGTCCCTTCTTAGACCCTACTCTGAGGCCCGAGGTCTGAGGAGTTTGAGGAAAGGAGTGGCACGAACCACAAAAGACCTCTGGCACAAGCGAGGCTTCCGATTGATTGCTTCGTGACTACAGTGTGTTGATGGCTGACATTGGCATTTCTCTATGTATATCACTGGGTGGCTTTAAAGGAGAAGCGCTGGTCTGTCTCGCAGTTGTGCCGCAGTCGAGTCTTGCCACAAGAGGGGAAGTTGCGCGCTTTTCCGCCCCTACGTCTTCCTGCCGGAGCCTCATTGGAGTTCTGGGGCCTTGGCTTCGCCCAGTTTTCATGCGATTCTTCGTGAAAAAAGAAAACACTTCCGGAGCTGCTATTCACCTCAGCCCCGTGACTAGTGTGACGGACACCCAACAAATAGGGATCATGCTCGTCCGCAGGCATAATGATCTGCTCGAAGCGGGTGATCGCAACCTTCGCATCAGACATTGGACTCTTTGGAACCAAGCGAACCAGTTGACCAAGAGAGCTACTGGAGTGGCACAAGGACCACCGCTCTCTGAGCCGCTCTCTTTTCGAACGATTGCATGATTGCAAATACGAGTAAGTACCATGAACTATACTAAAATTCTGGACACTGAATGAGAAGATTCTGGGGGGTGCACCAGATTCCGCATATCGACTTCAAGACCAGCTGACCCCCCTTGACAGGCCTGCGCATGTGCCAAGGAGGAGAAGAGTTCTGGCAAGGCGGACAGCGGCGCCTTGGAGGCACAGTGGGGCTCATCAACTGGAAGGGGCGGATGGCACCAAGTGCGGCTAAGAGGGCAAAAGAGTCGGGTGTATTTTGCTGAACCGCAGTTGCTGAAACCGATGTGACATAGTTTCTGAAACCCAGGGACCTGAACGCAGAGTAGTTGCTGAACATTACTTTATTCGTATTTCGACCGATGTCTTCTGTCTTTCGATGTCTTTTTGCTATTTCTTCAAGAATCCCATAGAAAATGTATGTAGCTGGACCATCCAATGAGTGTCCAGTGGACTACCCTACACTACCTAGAGGGATCTCCATTGACACCCATGGGATTGTCCAAGTCCAAGCATATAAAACATCTCTATTATTATATATCTTTCTGTAATTATACAAAAAGTCCCTTCACAAAACTCACAAACCTCCTCAGCATCCCTCGGGTGCGCCCAATGTTAGTCAGCATCCCAGGTGCGCGCATGGCGTTGAAGAGGGCCAAGGCGGAGAAGACGCTGGAGGCACGAAGGAGGCCCCCAGACAAAGCGAAGACCTGCCAAATGCGTTTGCACAATGTTCTGATATGTTCTGCAAGTAATGATATTCTTCTCACGACGTGAGAAAACAATTAGTATCTCTGCCACCTGATAATTTACTTGAGGTCTTCGAGTCAGGACACGTTGAAACCCTAGTTACCAGTTACCAAAGCCGGTTTTTGCGGCACCTCACGTCCACTCAGCTACGGACAAATACTACGTACATTTCGCAATCCCAGAGTTACCAAGACTTCAACCCTTCAACCCGGTGCCATCAATGTACCATTTCACCTCTACCTCTCTGGAGGACTCGGGGTGTCCGAGCTCCAGACTGTGAAGGTCGTCAGACTCACCATGGTGGGCGCGATGGTGGCCAACGTGGAGGACGACGCCTGACCGGTGGACCGTTCACCACCGACTGTCTCCGAAATACATGGCAGTGGGCCGAAAACCTGGAGCTTCAAACCCTTAGGCTGAATCTATATAGTCTGGTAATCCAGTCATATCCAGTCTGTTCATTTTCGGTGGTCAACCATGGTCTCAACTCACTTAGAAAAATGTTATATAGTCAGCTTCAATAATCCCAAGTAAGAAAATACAAACCTCTGAAAACCACCACCCAGCTTAGAGGATCCATCTGCAGGACCTGCAGGTGCGCACCGTCCATGGCCTGTGGCTGGAGTTTTTAACAAGTTCATCTTCACCCACTTCAACAGTCCAACAGCTTCCACGATCACGACCGCACGCCTTCAAAACGGCCTCCCAGCGGAGAGCCATCAGCTCCTTCTGGCGAAACACGCCAATCTCATCGAAACAGAAGCCCTGCAGCGAACACATATAGGAATCACGTACGGCGCTCGGCCGACCCATCTGACTCAGATGCGACTCGGCTTTGCTCACCCCACAGAAACAATCAAACACTGGGTTCGCAGCTCTGAAGAGCTTGAGCAAGAGTCTGTCTTAGAGAGGTCTCTTAAATCAATTTGCACCCTTGGCTACAAAGACTTGGCTTCCCCCTTGTTAATCCTGACTACCTACTAGTATATAAACACTACCCGAGACCTCTAAATACGATCTGTATTTGTTTTCGAATTACAGCCTTCTTAAGCCACTACTAAGCTGCTACAAACATGGTGGATTTGGGATGTCTTTTTGGGGGGTACCCACCCAAACACCACCCAATCGTGCCCCTCACTAGCACTGCCCCGCATTTACACACGCATGTGCACCCTTCCAAATGGCACAGAGCCCCGCAAACGCACTTTCCACCGAGGCCGTGCAAAACTGCATGGCGCAGCGACAGCACTTATCGAAATCTTTATATTTGTTGGTCTGATGACAAAAAGTTTACAAGCAAAGGATATCCCGTGTTAATAAAGGGTTTTTGTAAAGGAAAGAGGAAGACCCTTCAATCTGGAGTTGTTTTCTATTTTTGAACCGAGTTTCATAAGGGTTTTATACAAATGTTCCTAAAAGTCTCCTACGCGACTTTTCGCTTTTGAAGCTCTTCCCTGGTTTCCATCTTTGCAGGTCCCCCTACTTGGGGGACCCCCTATTTAAAATGACACCGGAGCTTTTTTATTAGGGAGGCCATGATAGGCCGTGTTCATTACAGTAACAGGTGGAAGAGATTACAAGGACTTGTTCCAGCGGATTCGGCACGAGCTGCAAATGTGCGTTTCCACTGTCAGAAAACCTGAGGACTGGTGATCTGCTTCAACTGAGCACTGCTGACTTGCAGGAAAACCTTCCCCTCATCCCATACCAACCAATGTCGGAGCCTGAAGTTCCAAAACTTGTTTTAAGATGTTTTAAGAAAAGGGAGGAAACCAAAGGTCCATGTGACGCGCAAGATCAATTTACAAGCGTGACGTACAAGTCCATGTGCAGTAGAAGCAAAGTAATCGGTGGCTTTGCCACTGGCCTCCCACTGCTGCAGCTTTAAGGCAGCTCGGGCCTGACAGGACTCGGAATGAGATCTGTGGAGGAAGGTTAATCCCCTGCATTTCCTCTCACGAGATCAAGGGATTTCTTCAAAAACTAGGTCCTTCACTTTGGATTCTTCACTTGGCTTCTTGAATCGCCCTTTCATTGGGCCCCAATTCAATCCCAGCTGCTGTGCCGTTCACGATGCACAAAATGTAACAGTCAAAAAATTTGCCAACTGGGGCGCATTTCATGGCTTGTCCTCATGGCATTCTTGTATAAGATGCATGCATGATGGTCTATTAATGAGCCCGTACTTATGTCCATTTACATCCATTTGCCATGAAAGGAGACGTCAACGGCAGTCCGACTGACCAACCACGCCACTGTCTCGGTCAACCCTCGGCCTGCACGGCCGCCGCCGTCCGCCGGAGGCGCAGGTCGGCACAGCGGGCCACTTGGGCGCGCTGCCGGGCCACCCACCTGGGAAGGGCGCTGCCCAGGACGTTCGGGTCGCGTCCGAGCGCTCCGGACGCGAGTCGCGATGCCCTTGGTGACGTGCGTAGCTACTTGTTCCGTTCGTAGTAAGGCCAGGAGCTATGTTCGTAGCGCCTCTGATGTCTGAAAAACGTCGATCCTTTTGGCTGATCAAAGCGTATTATATCATCATATTATATCTATATATGGGAACACATGGTACATCATGCTACTGTTGACAGCCACGTTCACTTTGGCATGGATACTGTCAGATGTGGCCCAAGCTTTGAAGAGTGAAAAAGCACCTGGCCCAGACCTGCCCAACTTCATCCAGGTGGCTTGGAGATGGTCACTTGCGCGGCCAGCATGGTGAACATGCAGAAGATCCCCGCGAGCACCGAGAGGCCCAGCTGGCGCCAGAGCATAATCAAGGCCTTGTTCTGGCACCGATGCACTGGTCGAACTTTCGGATGGGGAGGAGATTGCGAAACCATCGTTCAAGCCACCTGAAACCTGAAGTTGTCCATTGAAACCATGGGTGGTGCTTTTAAACTCCTGAAATGAATCTCGAGTCGTAGAGATTACAGATTGACTTTCTCTGTCACCTTCCCTCAAGGAAATACTCTTAAGGGGCCCTTGCACAGCCCTCGATCGGTGCTACAGTGTGAGATAGGTCAACCCGCCACATGTTTCATTGCAGAACTTGTCATACTCTGCCAATCTTCAACATCATGCATGGGAAAAGAAACCACTCAAGTTCAGGCATAACACGCAAAACTCCAGCTCTGCGCTATAACACCTTGGGTGCGAGTGTGGACCTCCCCACAGAGGAGTCTCCCCATAATTGTAAGTTAATAGGCTTGATCTGCTCTACGGAAGCTGAGGGACGAGCTATTGACAACTGAAGCGGAGCAGACCACAACCTCAACGGGATGTGGATACAAACAAACAATGACAAACACATCATCCTGAAGACATCTGAAGACTACAAAAACCATCAAACACCTTGGGCGCTGAAACTTCATTGAGGCCTTGACATGTTGAGGCATCCGCAAGCTGTGCTGATACGAGCACAATCCGACCTTGCCACGGACGGCTGTCCTATGTGCAAGCTGAGAGACGGCTGTCCTCGACTCCGAAGGGTCTCAAAAAAGCAAAGCGGAGGAACGGCCCCCAAAGGGAAGAAGTGGGGCCCGCACGATGCAATCGACAGGGATGCAACGGGATGATTCTAGCTCGGCGCCACTCGTGAATCAGATCCCGGTGAAGCACGACTGTCACTTCGGACTGAGTGTAGGGCGAGAGCATATTGCAGAGCTGTCCGCTGTCAATGGGCCGATTCACCTCGAACTCCAGCCTGGGCGAGGACGGAGGCCGGAGGTGGAAGGCGCCCAGAAATGCGCCGAGGTCGAGGTGAACAGTGTGGGGGAGGTTGGTCCGGCGGTCCTGACTTCCTCGTCTACGCCGAAAACCGCCTCAGACGCTTTGGGCCGCAGAATGAGCCGCACGAGTTTGGTCATGAGACGATCTGCGATGCTTTGTCGCGCCATGAGCAGTCTTTCGGCTTCAAATTTGCCTCTCGCTCTGAGTTCTGGCAAATCTCTGTTGTGAGTTCTCCTCGTAACACCTTCTCTTGAAACCGCTGGCTCAGCGGATGTTTAAAAAGAAGAAGAAGACACCGAACAGCCAGCACCTTCCACGTCAGACGTCGCTGGGGGCGTCCGGTGGTAGCAGGAGATCAAAGCAGATCAAAAGCATAGGAGCAGAAGAAGCTTGCAATGCTCGCTACCAAGAGCCACTGCCTGCCGGGAACACAGAACACCAACCAATCGCCTCGCTTGCGCGCCAGTCGGATGCATCTGAGTCCGAGATGTCACGTTTTTCATTTGGATCTTCTGACGACAGACCCTGAAAAAGCCCTGATGGTTCGGTTTCGGGTGGTGGACATAATTATCCTTTTTGATGTCACATATGTCACATACATATATTCACCTAGTCTGCACTGAGTCCGCGACAAAATCCCCATGCAATTCTCCACCACATTCAACTCTGCGAAGAATCCAAGAATCTTTCCGATCTGCAGAAGCAGGGGGACGCCAAACATCATCATCATGCCATGGCTATTGGCCTGTTGAAAAAGGTTTCGACGTATCCAAAGGCCAAGACCATGCCAGCCGGTCCGCAACAGAGGGGAGTTCGTTGGCAAAGCATCGAACCACTCATTACAAGCTGTAGCATGAGAAACGGCTCCGACCATTGTTATCATAGCTCCCAAGAAGTGTGCTAAGGTCTCCAAGCCGAACTGGAGTCGGAGGGTGCAAACGCCTTGCAAAGAGATACCTGCGGAAGCCAGAAGTCCAGAGTAAAGGCCAGTACAACCCAGTCCAGGATGGTACTTGTTGAAAAGTAAGTGAACCTGCAGCAATGTGATCGCAAGTAGAAAGCCGCAGAATCCAAAGCCAACTTGGTACATGAAGCGTCCGCTAGCGGAAATACCCATTTCAGAGATGGCAGGTACCAGCACACCATCAGCCAAAAGTGGTGCGTGGAGCCAATAGCAAGAACTCAGTGTGGCTAAATACCAAGCTAAGGACGCGATTGGTACAGCTGCTCTCAACTTGGAGTTAGGCCCCGCTTGCAGGGCCACAGCCACCAGAAGTACCGAGATCACAGTGGCCAGGACAAGTCCTGGAAGGGGTTTGGGCTGCGATTATTTTTGTTGAGAAGACCTGGTCAATCACCGCGCTTCGTTAGATTGTGTAGGAACACAGGGTTTGGAGGTAGATATAATATATGGTGTTGTTTTTTTTTTAACTGTATATATATATATATTACATTTATTATACTGAACCGCTCACATGATTCAAAAAAAAAAAACATACATTTTGTATGACCACTTATAGCTTTATTGTTTTTTTTTAACTCTTTATCGTTGTTCAATGTTTGGAAATCAGTATACAGTCTCTTGTCGTTTCCCAGCTAACCACACATGTCCCTGCCTCCACTGCAAACAAGTCGGTGTCTGTTATGTGTGTGTGTGTGTGCGCGCGTACCAATTTTAATGATTTCAATGAAAAACTGATTTTTCAAAATGTCCTTCAAACTGACTCCAAACATCAAGGAAAGCCAGGAACTGAAGGAATTAGACCAGGAGGGACACAGGGAGATAGTACGGTTTCGAGACTCCGACCTGACACCCCTTCACCTCTCGGTGTCGAGAGATCGGCCGGTTGGTGGAGCATGGCTTCCTGGCTCACCGGTACCTCCCCGTAAAGGGAATAGACACAGAGACAGGGGAGAGAAAAAGGTGCACCAAAAGTAGCTAGTGAATTGTTAATTCTTAGTTATTTCTCCTGGTCTAATTCCTTCAGTTCCTGGCTTTCCTTGTTGTTTGGAGTCTGTTTGAAGGAAATGAAAAATGTGGAATTCATACATGTGGGACATGGTCTTCCCGAGGACTTTTTCGTGTATTCTTGTTATCGTTTTTGTTATCGTTTTGTTATCGTTTTGGAACCCCCAACGCTTCACCCATTTTGGTGGCCTAACGGACTCAAACACTTGCTACAACATATTCTCAAGAATGATTCACATGGGTGCTGTTGACTTGTCGGCCTAACATCTACTGAATTAGAATCCATGCATGTACACGTAACTACTTACTCATATGGATCAGCAAATGTCTACCCATATCCCAGCGATGCTCAAGGAGCCAAAAACGAAATCACTCCTGAATGCTTGTATTACACGAAAACCTTGACATGAAACACTCTTGTAAAGAAAGAATGCACCTGAAATCAATAACTGGATTTGACAGCTATTTGCTTCAAGAACTGAAGGCATTTGAATTTCCAATGCTTCTATTCTCATGTACTGTATTGAATGTGTTACACGAGTGTTATCGTTTTTTTAAACTCTTTATCGTTTTACAATGAATCAGCCATGGTTTGCTAAAACGGGACCACTGCTTACATTTCTCCTAGGTCCCGGTTTTTTTTAAAACATCACATGGAGGGAATGCTTTCTGGGATCAAAGTCATCAAACCATCTCGCAACACCACCAGTGTCTAATTTGTCGTAATGCATTGGTGTTTGCTTGATGTCTGCCTCGTTCAAACTTCATCATCCTTTTACATCTATGAGTCTTAGGACGCTATTAATTCGGTGGAGGTCATCGCAAGTAGCTTAACCACGACAGTCTACGACCGTAACGAGGGATCCAACAGCTCGGTCCCAGAAGAGCTGCATGCGACAGGCTTCGCGCCACCCGCAGCTGCTCCTTCTTCACGGGCACCACGCTCCGCGAGCCCATCGGCCGCACGACCCAGGCGCCCTCCCGGCGGGCCACCAGGAGCGCCAAGGCCCCGTCCAGCGGCCCCGTCCGACCAGTGAGACGGACCACCTGGTTCAACTCCATGGGTCGATCGGAAAGAACGAAGTGGTTCGTAGCGTCCTTCCTTCCTAGTAGCGGCTTTTTCCTGGTCCCGAGCGTAGCGTCCTTCCTAATTGACAATTGATATGTGGTCAGATTGATCCGTACCTTCTAGCCGCTAGAAGGACAATACAGCTATGTACATTTTACACTCTATATAGATCTCGCAGGATGAAGTTCTCTATCTCACGTCGCTCTCAGAATTGCAAACTTAACAAAAAGAAGAAGGTAAACAAGAAGGAGCGATGTTATTGCCATGTATCAAAGGCTTTCAAGGTGGCTTGAGCGTCTTCAAAGCTGGCAATAAGATTCACTCGTGTCAACCAAATCTTGAGCCAACTTGGCTTGGCCGAGCCACTACTCACGCAAGTCTGGCAAAAGTGTTGTTGCGTCTGAGGGTGCTTGAGGAAGAGCAACATGACCTGGAAGGCTGACCTGTCGAACTTCACCACTAGCTCGGGGGCAACACATGTCACATGTCAATGCTAAGGCGAGCTGCCTTGACCAAAGTCTGTGAACTTCCCTGTGATACGAGATTGGATTGGAGCCAGGGGTGAAGGTTCACCTCTCAAATCTCAATTTGGCAGACGGTTCCATTACCTTGCCAACCATCAACCTTCAACCAGCCTTACCCCCAGCCCGCCCACGCGGGAAAACTATTGATGATCACTTCTTCAAACCCTCATGCAGTAACTACAAATAAGTACAATCCTGAAGCCCTGGCCCAACCCTAACATGAACAGAATAAGTCAACCCTAGACTTCTTTATCTACCGGTTTTTTCTCGCTACCTTCGCTTGACCCACCGTGCTTCAGTCGGTCTCCACCATCGGGTCACCCAACGTGCGCCGGAAGAGTGCTGCGGCCATGGCTCCACGAACAATGGCACCTGAGTCGTCGGGCCGCCCGGGCCGCCCGTCGGGCGGGTTGGGTGTCGTTTGGAACGGAGGTGAAGACGGAGGCACCTGAGGACGCCTGGCATGACTGGGTGGTTTGAAGGAGACTGTGTCTGGTATGATTCGGATGCAGCAAAAGATATTCTTTTTGGAATGGGTTGCAAGGATTCCTGGAAAAGCAATCTGCAGGTCAGTCCTCCTTGCAGACCTGCAATCATTGATGCTTACACCATGCACTCTGAGCAGTAAAAGCTTGCCCTAGTCCAAAAAGCTGGACGTCGAGCAATATCTCAGAAAATCATGAAGACTGGAATCCCATCGCATAGGACTGGATGCCAATCGCAAAGGACTGGATGGTGGCACTCACATGACAACATCTGCAGCATGGATTTTGGCTTGCCTGTTGCTGTTTCTCCTGGACACATCGTGTTGGCGTGGGAGGTATGCACGCTCTCTTTCCGCAATGCATTACAGTAATGATTCATGCTACATGATGCTGCATGTGTGCTATGGCTCGTGGCAGCCTGGCCACAAATTATCTGAGATGGAAAAACCCATTAGCGACCCCCAGACCATCCCAGACCCCAATGTCTCTTCGATTCAGTCCTGAATTTGGGCCAAAGAATATGGCCATCTTGCCACGACTCAGGTCTTTGAAACCTCTTGACGCACATTCTGCCACAGCATGCAAAGATGAGATTAGCTGTTGTTCTAGGCAGCCAGGTCGTAACCATGCTGAACCTCAACCGGCATCGTCGAGATGTTCGAAGACCCAACTCCCTCCAATCGCCCACCTGAGACTACACTCAGTGGCCCCCGCCAAGCCGAAGTGAGTGCCAGAAGTATTGGTTCACCAAAACCGCCTCCAAGTGACGCAGGCACCACCGTGAGAATGTCTGCGGAATCATTCGGTGAACACGAAACCACGTCCCCAACAAAAATGATTGACATCGACGAAGAATGCTCCAGGCCATCTCCAGGATGGAAGAAATTCATAGTCTATCATAGTCTACTCTTCGAGTTATTCACATGAAAACTGGAAAAGCCACCTGTTGGGTATTTCGAGAATTCTCTTTCCAGGGTCCATGCCTTCCATGATTCTTCCAGGGAGTGGATTGCGAGATGTGAAAAAAGCCATCCACGTCTGAAAAGCATGCGGAGCTTTCCAATGCCACCTGAGTCACACCCGCCCATTCCCGCCTCGAACATCCTCTTCTCACGTCTCACGTCACACGTCACCGTCCCGCCTGCGCCAGCGTCGCGAGCGGCAGGAGCCAGGCCAGCAGGAAGGCCGTGATCGGAGCCTCTGGGCGCGGTCGGAGCGGTGTCATCAGAACTCAATGCATGTTGAAGTGCTTAGTACTTCAGTGTATGCGCGCAAGCCAGAGGCCCAAGCCGCTCCGTCGTCGCATCCTTTTTGATTCAGCGCCTTGGACTTGGACATGCTGGGATGTGGTTCCTGGTTCACCTGGTTCAGCTATGCCGGCAAAGCAAGCATTGCATAGCATTGCTACAGGCCAAGAACCAGTCACCAACTCTTCGTCCCTGTTTGAGCCGATGAGACCAGGCTCCCTCGCCTGTTTGAGCCGATGAGACCTTTCACCGTTGCCTCGTTCGATGATCGGGGATCTCATGGTCCCAATTGAACGACCATGAAACCAGGAACTGAAAGGAACTGAAAGGCGTTTGTTGGAAGGTCCAAACATGTCAGAACATCCTTGCCAAGAACGTACCGAGAACTTACACCTGAGTCATAGTCGCAACTGCATGGTCACCTCGGCCTCCATCCAAAAAAACATGAGATAAGCCCATCCTTGGGGCTTCCGGGAGTCTCCCTGATGTGAACACAGTCTACCCAGGGGTCCACGGACCGCTATCGTTGGGAGGCAACTGGGAACTCCCGTCGAGCTGGCTGGAACTCTCAAAACTCTCTGAACTCTTGTGAAAAGATTCTGGTGCCGAAAGCGCAAAGTTGGTCGCAGGGCACAGTTGGAGGCAGTCTCCATGGCTGTCTTGCTAAGGCTTTCATGCCCATGGAACTCCAAAGACGAACCAGATTTCGTGTATATACGACATGCGTTGGGTCTGATTTCAAAGAAGATATGCGATGAAGAAGACCGTTCTGAAAATTCCAACACCGACGTCCGCTCGTGTCAAATCACTATCATGCGATGAGGCTCCTTTGGCGTTTGCCATGAGACCTGCTGCGCAGCCAGCTTCAACCTCTTAACTCTCGTTCCGAGTGTCTCCGGCATTCCACAAAAACTGTAAGATGATGATGAAAGCATCTCAAAGATGCAGAGATGCTTTGTTATAAAGCTTACATATGCCACCCTTTATAATGTCACCTTCCACTGACTTCTGGTGACAACAAGATCTACTCGTGGCAGAAGCTGGCTTCACAGCCAACTCTTTACATATATAACATTTCCGCAGATTCGTAAGTGTTTCGTGGCGCACCATTCAGTGGCGTTGAAAACCGGGCGCCTTTCCAGCGGCCCAATTCATGATCTTGGCGCAGGTGAAACCTCCCAAAATGATCCAAAATGATACAAAGGGCGCCAGCCATCCCTGGGTGCGTGGCGTGACATAGGGCATCACATCCGGGTAAACGACAAGTTGGACATATCACAATATGAGACAAAACCATACAAAAAAAAAAAACGTAATTGCTACGAATGGTACCGTATTGTTCCGAGATCCGTCTCCATGTGTACATTTATATATATATATATAAATTATATATAATGTGTGTATGTATAATATATGTGGTATGATATCATCATTTATCCCACTATGCGAGTCATTCCTGCAAGTCATTCATTCCAAACCCACTATGTCGTCTTGTGTGTGCCAAGTGGCAGAAGAACGCCCTCACCTGGTTGGAAAGCCAACTGCGAAGATTTCAAGAGACACGCATGCGTGAGCGAAATGGGTAGTCGAGCTTGCGGTGGGCTTGCTGAGGGAACAACCCATGGATGCGATTCTGAACAGGTGTGGGAAAAGCTCCAAGCTTTGAAAGATATGGACAGCCTCTAAGCTCCAAGCTTTGTTTCGAAGCTGTGCTGCGTGTGCTGTGGGAAAGGAGATGAAGCATGATGAAGCATCAACATCGTTGGGAAGGCCCATCTTGGTGAGTTCCAAAGGTCTTTCCGGTCTTTCTGAGTTGCAGAATCAGAACAACATGCAGTTGGGAGTTCGGGCTCCAGTTTGTATTTCTCAAGTGGAGACATGCCAGGACTGCCAGGGCCTCTCTTCTCACTGAAACAAAGGATCCCCACAGTTCCTCTGTGGCGATACGGGAAAGTACCACCAACCCAAAAGGTTCTGCAAACAAGGGCACTTGTCAAAGCAGTATGGCTTTCGTGTCAAAGCAGTGCAACCCATTTTTTCAGCCTAAACACTTCTCGCGAGAACCGGCTTCTGCTTTCTCCAAGCGGCGTGATGTTCACCAAGGCTGATTCCCAACCGTTGGGCTTCGAGGCCGCGGCGTTCTCGTTCTCGGCCTCTGCCGCTTGCATGAGCCGTGGTAGCCGCTCACCTCAGCGGAGTGATGGAGCCGAGGATTCGATGCGCGTTTTGGTCGTCTGAGAGATCTGCAGATTTAGTCAGACTTACATAAGACATATGTGACATAAGGTGGCCATGTCCAGCTTCCCTATACCAGGTTCATCGTGGAAATTGAGCGTCAGCAAGATGTTTTTGCCATGGCCCAGCAATGCGCGGTCATTGAGGCATGGGAAATACGTGAAAATAGGTGTCTGATCGGCTCATGGTGCAATTGAATCCAGAGAAGTGTCCAGCTCAGGACAATGAAGTGGTCAAAAAATCGGTCTGTGGGCAAACTTTGGAGAATCACACCAAGGAAGTTGCGCGGTGGCGCATGTACATCTGTGTCTAAGCTTTGAGTATATGGTGGAGATGGTCATGTTAACATAGGATTAAGTAACCTTCCCCTATTACTCAAGCCCATCTGCCCAAAGAAAAAAGAATGCTTCATAAGTATTGTGTTTTTTGGCTAAAAATAAGAGGTCATCTAAGCTCTGCCAAGCAACCTTTGTTCCACAATCCCCAAAAACTCTAAAGCAAAAAATGGTAATGTTCCCTTATTCAAACTCTATCAACATCTTAAGGTGTTCAAGCTCACAAGGAATACCCCTCACACAGGCCTCACGGTTCACACAGAATCCAATCAACCATCATCCATCATCAGGTCATCGCCTTTATTAGGGGGATGAGGTCTCCAATACCTCCAATCTCAAACCTTGTTGACTTTGAAGGGGGAGTTGATTAATCCTACGATGGCATTATTGGGGAAGATGTTATACTCTTACAAGTTACAAGACTGTTAGTTGGTGCTGCAAAATCAGAGAAAAGAACTCTTGGGGTAACTGATATCAGACCAATCAGTTTCAGTTAGCTGTTTTTGGACATTTCTCAAAAAGGGAGACTTGAGAATACTTGAGATATATCCTCCAGTTCGTCACCATCAACCTTCACCTCTGCGGCATCCCAACTTCGTTCAGGTTTTGGTCGATGGGAAGAGAGGCCCAACAAAACCAACACAAAACCGACTCCCGTCCGAGTCCAAAGGCAAAACACACCCGTCCGACTTCAAGCAGAACCAGACTGTCGTCCACTCAACTTCGCATCACTCAGGATGTGAAGTTGAACACCTCTGAGTCCCATCGGCCCTGCGGAACCCAACGCACACCGAGCTGCCACACACGCTCAGCGCTTTGTACACCTGGTCAGCGATGTCAAGGATGCTTGGTCAACGATGCTTCAAAGGGGTTTGGATCCCATGGATCAGTGTTTCGCATGGCTGTGCCCCTGATTGAAGCTGCGCTCGTTTCAGAAACCACTGACTGCACTCGTGAACCCGGAATGGATTCCCTTCACGTCGGATCCGCCCTGGAAAGCACCGAGCGTGTTGACCTCCCTACTGACTGCCCAGGTTCAAGCATTTGAGATGGGTTCCATTCCATGTTGGATCTTTTTGACGTTTGTGCCACCTATTACTCAGGTCGGTCCACATGTTGATGCTTGCGAAATCGCGCCTTGTTCACATCAGCCACTTGGCTTTGAAGCATTGACGTCCATTGCTTCAAGGACTGATTAAACTCCTCCATGCTCTTCGCCAGCATTGGAGCCAGATCTTCCACCTGTCGCCCACGTCCGGCGACACGTCACACCGGGTCGGTCGCCCACCCGTCCCACGTGTCGAAACTCGGAGTCGAGCGGAGCGTGAAGCACCGGAAACCGGTCGCTCCAAGTGGAAATGAGACCCCCAAAGTGAAGGGTTTCAGGCAGAACACGAGGACTTCGAAGGCGACCAATGAGCTCTTCAGTTCGAAAAGCCGCTTTGGAGAGCTCTAGACAGGCCCCAAACATGTGAAAACTTCGGTGCATATCAACGGCACGCCTTGGGCTCAGGATTCAACGGCACCGGCTCAGATGTGGGAACTGCTGGCAGTTGAACCTGCGAAAAATCGAGCTAGTTGGTTCGCTCAAATCACTTCGGGTTCGTTCTGAGGCAAGAAAGGGAGCCGTTGCCCAAACTCCAAGTTCAGCCGTTGCCCAAACTGAAAAAGCATTCCCAAGACTGAAGAACAATAACACATGGCTAATCAGTTGCCCTTCTCATCTTCTCGGTTGCTGACTGCCATGGTTTCCTGCTGCGTTTGATTGCATTTGCCTATGCCTGCCTCAAATGGTCAGTGCGCCCATGTTCACGTCTCTGTTGGACTTCTGACGACCATCATGTCAACTTTACTACTTTGCTCTATATTGAGATTACCATGAACAAAAACCTATCAACTGGCCCAGAAGGAGCAGCAGCAGCAGCAGCAGCAGCAGCAGGAATGCTATCGTGCGCTTTCATGGCCAAGCTTTATGTGGTGCATCTCTCCAAAAATGGCCAAGCAGCAAGCAAGCATAAACTCACTTGCAAACTTGGAGGCCGTCGCTATTAGGTCCCGCTTTTTTAAATAGTTCCCACAACCCCTACTATTACCAGTGCCTCAATCACCCCGACCACCCCTCTACGTGTCTTACCACAGGTACCACAACTATATACTATCTTCGTTGCATTGACGCTACTATATATATATTATATATATATACACTTGATTTGCATTGCGGAGGAGGCGCTGCGCACTGCCGTCCACTTCCCCTACTATTACCAGTGCCTCTATCACTCTGACCACCCCACTACCAATCCTACCACAATTGCCACAACTACTACCTTCTTTGCGTTGATGCTGCCACAAAGGTGGACGATAAGGCCATTGCTATTACGTTG